AGACCGGGGTTACGTATTGCTTTTTCCTGATGGAAAAATAGCTAAAAAGATACCTGGCAGCTGTGAAGAGTTCACTTTGAGAAAATACAAGGAAGGCCTTGCTAAAAGCTATAGCTGAATTAATATGTATCTTTGTCCAGCACCTGAAAAGAAAGAGACCAGTATGCTACCTATTACAAATTGGTTATGTGATGAGGAAAATGAGATTCGTGTGATAGAGAGAGCTATGGGCTGTGATTCTGATGATGACTGGATTGATTGCAACAATGTACCATCATCAAATAATGTAATTGGCAAATCCAGTGAAAATGTTGATGAACCATCGATTAATCTGAACAAAGCTAAATGTAATCATTCCGAAGTTGCTGATTTTTGTGAGTACTTGTCCTTTTATGTTAGTTTGAGTTTGTAATGTTTTCAGTAATTCACTTTTGTTTCAACCTAATTTCTATTGTAGGCCTGTTGGTTTAGATGAGAACATGGCTGTCCAAAAAGCTGTAAATGAAAGCATCCAACAACTTGGAAGTAATGAGGATATAGTGTCACTGAATGATCAATCTGTTGGCCTGGACTATGAACATGCTGTTAGGTTGATAAAGGAGCATTCAGCTGCAGTTGTTCATGGGGAACCCCGTAGTGTGGTAGTAAGCCAGTTAAGCATGTGGGATACAGCAAAACCTTATTTTGAAAGGAAAAAGTTCCTGGAGAAGTATAGTTTCCTGTGTGTCACTTTCGCTTCATTTGAGAAGCAAGAGGATGCTATCGATAATGGTGGTCCTCGTCGTGAGTGTTTTCATCTGCTCCTTGGTGCAATATCTAAAGAAAGTGGCACCTTGTTAAGTGCGTCATAAGAATTGTTTACAATTTTTATTCATCAGGCATATATAATTGTCAGTGCGTATGTTGTACATAACTGCTTTGTTACTATAGCCAAAATTTAAACATAAATTTTATGCATCATTGTTTGCAATTTTATGCATATTTTGTATTATTCAACATATGATTAACTTAACTAGATAGCAAGATTTTTTGATTTAGATACACCAGAAGGCCATGTTATAAGAGCTAATTTCAAGGCATTGCAAAGTGTTGCATTTGCTGTTGGTTGGAAAGATGTTGGCAACTATGATTGTACAGTGAGGAGAGTTACCACAAATCTTTGGCCCTGGTGTATGTCAATATATTCAGGGTGGGTTTGATGAGGCATTTCCCATTGTTGATGAAGTTCGAAATAGCAACATTCTAACATCTCTAAAGGAGGTGTGTAATTATGTATCGACAAAGAATTAGGACATTTTTAATCAGCTATTTCCATCAAAGTTAAATGTTTATCAAACACATTGAACACTTTCTTTATTTTACTCTCAGTCAAATTCAGCAAAATCCCTAATGGAACTTGACAACTTGTGGAAGGAATGTGCATGGAAATTAGACATAGATGGTATGCCCTTGAACATTGCCCTGCAACAACAAGACACCCTGGTCAAAGAGATAACTAAATACTTTGTCATAATACAATGCAAGTCCATGTTGGATCAATTTATTGAAGGACTTTCTTATTATGGGGTATGATATTTTTAACATTATATTGTTTTATTGTTTGTAGATAAAGAATAAGTAAAATTATTTTATTACAAAATAAAATATGAGACAACTAATTCATCATAATTGGTATTAGAGTTCATCAGAAAGAACAAAGGAATGGCCCATCACATATTTGCAAAGAAGAAACATGGTAACCTATCAGTGCAAGAAGTTTTGGAGCTATTGAGTCCTGCCTTTGCACCTCAGGGCAACCAAAGAAGGATACCTGAGGAAGTCATTATGGCAAAGTTCATTGCATTTTTGAAATCAATTGAAGGTAATATGTGTATTTATTACTGATAATGCTTTGCAATACCTTTTGCTTACTTAATCCTTTCCTGGTTTTTCAGATGGTACTTTGCAATAAAGTTTGGAGGATTGTGATGTGGAACTCAATGAGCCATGTGCTGTTGTTTGCCACTGGGGCTGCTAGCATACCATCTATAGGCTTTGACCCAAAGCCTGTAATTAATTTTGTGTATGATAGTGAAAAAGCAATCCCTTGTGCACAGACATGCACAAATACATTCAATCTATTTGTAAATAGTAGAACCAAGGATGGTAATTTGTCACATTACCTTCTAACAGCATTGATGAATGGTGTGGCATCTTTAGTAAATTGTAAAATACATGCTTTTCTTACACTATGACATGAAATTTTTTGTATTTAAATTTTAATTAAGTATTTATACTTGTATTTTAAGTGGTAGGTCATTCCATGCCTTGTGAAATCTGACACAACCTATTACATTTGTCTAATGCTTCTCTCCAATTGGTTGGTTTGGCAAAGCTGAGTTGTTGTGCAATCTCTGCAAGGTATTCCTGATAAAGGCTTTCCTCTATATATCCATTACAATATTCTGACATATCATGAAATTTTTCATCAGAAATACACTTAATATGATTTTGAACACCTGTGCATTCTGGCAAAAAGAACATTTCATCTGGTCGTCCAGCAACAGTTTCAAACCTAGACTTCCGTATGTAATGTGTGTTCCAGTGTAGTTGGACTGATATAAAATCTGACTGAACAAGTTCACTGAAGCAGAACCACAGACACTCTTTCTGCAATTGATTTGATAGGCAAAGTTGACCAATTCCAACAAGGTCTTTGAAAAAATTCATCCACCAACTGGAACGATTCTTGTGCAAGTAGGACCACCTGCATTCAATGCGCTGATTAGAGGGTGAAGTACCATACCTGTGTGATTTCTCACCAGCAAATTCATCATCCCCATCACATCGAAAATAAGATTGAATGGCAGCCAAAATTGTATTTTCAGTTCCATTGTCGGTTCTAAGTACAGTAGGACAACCTCCAAACTCCTTCACAGCATTTAAAAAAAAAGTGTCCAATTACTGCAGGATCATTGTTAGTTCTGCAGACCTTAAACCACAGGACCTTGTGGCTGTAGCCATCAATGCACTCATGAACTGGAAAACCATAAGGTTTTAACTTATATCCATCCACGTGCCATGTATAGTTTGGGCCTGGGGTGTGATAAATTTGACGACGAAGAGTTTTGGACTTTCTTTGTTGTACACCTTGAGGATCAAGTTCCTTTAGGATAACTATAACGACATCTCCTGGAACCTGCATACCTTCAATTCGCAATGTATGCCAAACCGCACGATAACTGCCAGGACCGTCAAGCTCTTGCTGAATACGAGTTTTAACATTATCTAAGTTATAGTTCTTTCGTTTAAGCCCAAGATAGTGAAGTTTTGTATTTAAGGTTCTCAAAGAAATTATGATGCCATGGTATTGAGACAAAAAACAAAGTATCTTTTGGTAATCAAAGCCTTGTTTAAAGTAACGCTCTATAATCTCTTCGCAAGATGGATTTTCAGCGCGACTCTGACTATTCATTTTCCAAAATAAAATGCGCTCGAAAACGCTGCATTATACGCTGTAACTGTAATTAATCTAAGTAGTTTCTTCGTTTTGCAATCGTTTTATGGATAAATGGCAGTAACAGGACTATTCGTAAAGTGTTCCCTTATGATCGTTGATGTTCACAGATGCGACATTTTGTTGTGTATTGAGAACAATATATTTGTGCATAAAGTATTTATGTTAATGTTTATATAAAAGGAGTTGGTATATTGTGAAATATTTAGTTGTGTATTTTCCAATTTTCTCATGCATTTAAACTTCTTTATGCGACAATATATTTTGAATTTTGTACTGAAAAATTTATTTATGCATTTCAACTTTAGTTAGTGCGCTCATATTTATTCGTGTATTGCACATACGGGCCACCGTATGACGCCGTTTTGATAAACGAAGAAGAATTTGCGCTTTTGTATGATATTTCGCGTTCAAAGAACCCAGAATTAAAACACGGCGACTATTCATCTTTTGATTTGGAGGAAATTGATGAAGTTACATGTGCTGTAGACATTCGTTTTAAGAAACACGAAATTCCTTTGCTGGCTGAAGCGTTAGATTTTCCTCATCGTTTCAAATGTAAACAAGGAACAGTTTGTGATGGGCTGGAAGCTCTCTGCCTTGTCCTTCGTCGGTTTGCTTATCCATGTAGATACAGTGATCTAGTACCGCAGTTTGGAAGGTCTGTTCCAGAGCTCAGCATGATCATGAATACCGTTGTTGACTACATTTTTGAGAGGTATGGGCACAAAATAACCAGTTGGAATCACCAGTTGCTCAGCTTAGAAAATCTGAAGATTTATACTGAAATCATCTATCAAAAAAGAGCAGTTCTTGATAATGTCTTTGGTCTCATTGATGGGACAGTAAGGCAGATTTGTAGACCAGGTGAAATGCAACGAATAGTGTACAATGGTCACAAGAGGGTCCATGCTCTTAAGTTCCAATCAGTTACACTTCCAAATGGAATAATTGCAAACATGTTTGGACCAATAGGTAAATGCAATATCAAGGGTAAATTCTGTTGAAAAACAAACTGAGTTATTTTTCTTTTAGAAGGATGAAGGCATCATTCTGCCATGCTGGCTGAGTCAGGACTTCTGAATGACCTAGAAGAGTTTGCTCATTGGAAGGGAAAACCCATGTGCCTATATGGAGATCCCGCATATCCTCTGCACATTCATTTGCAAGCACCATACCGAAAACTACCACTAACTATGCCAATGGAAGAATTCAATAAGTCAATGAGTGCTGTGAGAATATCAGTGGAGTGGATTTTTGGTGACATTATAAACTACTTTAAATTCCTTGATTTTAAGAAGAATCTAAAAATTAGCTTAAGTTCTGTGGGCAAAATGTATATAGTTGCATCACTGCTTAAAAATGCTCTAACTTGTCTTCAATCAAAGATGACAAGTGATTTTTTTCAGTTGGAGCCACCCTCTCTTCAAACATATTTCTCATAATTTTTTGTGAATATTTCTTGTTTCTCATACATTGTAATTACAAATTATTTTATTTGTCTGCAATTTTTGTTAAAAAAAACATGATTAGTTTATTTGTCAGCAATTTTTGATAAAAGAGCTACTAGGGCTTGTGATTGTTGTTGAACCAGTAACATTTGATTTGCTTGAATTTGCTGGTTTTGTTGCCTTTGCAATTCAATCATGTTTTGCAGCAACTGATTTTGTTTCTCCATGAATTGCTGTTGACTTTCTTTCTCATTCTGTAATTGCAGCCTTTGTATTTCTTTTTTCTCTCTTTCCAATTGTAAGCTTTCCTCTCTTAATTTTCTTTCTTTCTCCCCCTTTTCTCTTAGAAACTCTAAAGTAGAATCTCCTCCTTTCCTAACTTTTTTCTAGAACCACCTTGCTTGCTTTCCTTTCGCTTCCTGGTTTCGGATAGGTTTTCCATAGCCCTTCTTCTTATCTCCTCTGCTGCTTCTTTGTTTGCATTATTTTTTCTTCTTTCTGCAGCTGTAGCCTCAGCAGCAACAGCATCACTAGCTTTTTCTCTAGCATGAATTTATTCGAGTAAATCATCCAGCTCGGTTGCTTCTGAAGAAATGCCACTTGCATTTATTTCTTCTCTTTCTTTCTTGCAATAGTTTGCAAGCAATTTTCGCACTCTGTCTCTTACTGCACGCTGGTCAACACGAAAGCAAAGGTGGTCATGTTGCTCTAACTTCTTAGCAACGGCTTCCCACACCTTCCTCTTTCAAGGGATTTTTTTCTTGTTTCAAAAAGTCTTGACACAACTACTTCTTTGCACAGTTAGACATCATGCTTTGCTGTCCACTTCAAAACAAAACTGATTCTAACACAATTTAGAAATATATAGCGGCCAAAATTGATATATCAGTACCCGTTGCATAGTATTTTTATGCAAACATAAAAGGGGAACACAAACCATTATTACAAAGTAAGACAAATTTCAAAGCCACTGGATGTTAATTTAGCTAAACAATTAATTTAACTGACGGTGAATTTCGTGGTGTACTTGATGAGCAATCACTTGATGCTGATGAAAACTGTTTTGCCATTTTCTTGCCTTGCTAAAAGCAAAAATGCAAAAATATTTTACTCACAGATAAATATCAACACATCAATCACATACCAGACTCCACAGACAATTGTAACAGTTGAATTAAAAGCTGAAATACTTACTTTAAAACTTTTTTTATGAAAAATTCCACCTTCGATGTAGGACGACGTGGGATTAAGCAAAGACGCCGCGTCGTAGAAGCACGACAAACCTCAACAACGCCCGCACATGCGCATTGGTTAAAATTAATTTCCGCTCGCGTTGTAGATGAGCGTGTCGTTAAATCTTAAGGTCACTATTATGTTGTGGTGCTGTATTGAATCATGTCTTTGCTCATATTGTTGTACATGTGGTCACCATGTTGTTGTACATGCGGTCAGTGATCTGTCATTATCTATTGTTAAAGTGGAAACACCTGATTGCCTACATGTGCTTAACTTACTGTGACTAAAGCTATATTTAAGAACGTTTCTTTGAGTCTTTTTTAAAAATCTAACATACAATGGAGAACATTCTTCAGTCAGTTAATTTGTCAACCTTAACAGCAAGCTTTTTAAGTCAAATAATTGAGGTGAGCGACATGCTGGCAGCATCTGATCACGAATTGATTCGATTAGGTATAAGTACCATTGGAGATCGAATTTTCCTACGTGCTGCTTGCCAAAAAAGCGAACGATAGTAGCAGTGCGAGTGAATCAACAAGTAATGCTGCTGCTGCCATGGAAGAGCGAGTCTCTATTTGTCATGCTTGCCGACACACTAGCAGAAGTAGAGCAATTTCTTCAACGATTAATCCAAGAAGTGGAAATAAGCGGGTGGCCAAGGGAACTTCGTGCACCCAGACGTTTGTGTGCTTGGCTGAGATAACATCCCGTAAAACACCATTGTCGTTTGATAAACAAGTTTTGTATAAAGCTGGTCTAGGTGTGAAAAAAATCCGATTGGATTTGGATGACAATGAGGAAACAGTTGTTCAGAAAATAACGTCTGATGATCTGGATCAATATGGACAACCAATCAGATATCCAAAACTTAAAAGCTACTGTGGGTTTGAAATTTTTCGTTATTCACCAAATTGCCGTGACCTCACTGTGATTAACAATTGTTGGGGTGCAAAAGATTTGTAGTCAAGCATGGGTGGAGGTTAGGGGAAAATATACTTGCGACCTATGCATTCATATCACATCTAGCTTTAGTTTTCCATCGGCATCAGCAGTATCATCAAATATTAGTAATGTCGTCATACCAACAAACTACCAACAATTGAAAATATTATAGAATAACCTTTATAACCATCATTGCATTAATTCTGTTAATATATATTTTATCCCAAAGAATATGTTGCAGATATATACGTGGCTGATGATCATCATGGTGGCCCTCGCAAGGAGCTCTTTTGCCTAATATAAATGGAAATAAAAGACATGTTCTTTGACAAGGGTTTAAGAGAAATGATGCAAGAAAAATATGTCCCAGTTGGAATACTGCTGTGTGCGTTGTGAATTTGTAACACTTCTTTATAATTACAGATACTTTATGCACCAGGGAAATATTACATGTTGTAGAAAGAATTAATTTGAAATTTTATGTTTAAGGTTTAAGTGTTATTCAGAATGGCAAGATCCCAAGATTTATTCCTGATGATATGACACACAAAATATTTTCTCCTGAAAAGAAGTTCTGAAGCTTGCATTGTTGAACTCCAAGAAGGCTTGAAAAAATTGGCATTTACCAGGTAACATAATTTCATGTACTATTGAAAATTGACCATTATTTGAAACAAAGGTGAGGAATTGTTTGTTGATTAAAATCAGCATTTTGTATTTGTATTCACGCAACTTCAATTTTTATGTGTAGCTTGGCTGTGCACTTCTAACATTTTTGAATATTTTTGAGGCTGGCCAAGTACAAACTTTAACACCCAGAAGATTAACCACTTTGCTGAAACCTTTCAGTGAGGAAGGATCAAATCGTCGAACACCAGAGAACCAGGTGTATGCAGTATTTTATAATATGTTCAATTGGTGTCCAGTAAGTGACTATTTGACTATTCATAAGAGCTGACCTTTACACCTGTCAAAAAATGTTTTTATTCTTAAATAGCAGTGATGTAAAATATTCTATATTCTACAGGGGCGGGTCCAGGATTTTTAATTCCTTAGTCGGAAGGGCATGGTCGAACAAAATTTTAATAAATGGGCGTGGTAGCATTAGCTAAAAATTCTGCTAATGCAACATTGTTAATATGATGAATTATAAGGACTGTTTCACCCTATATCAGAGCTCATCAGCATGCCTAGGAAATGGCACCCTCACCACGTGAAAATGCAATTCCGACATGGACAGCCTCAACATAATGAGAAGCCTTAAACAAAAAGAGAGCAGTCTGGTTTTAAGGCGCCAGATACTCGCCTTTCACACCTTTGCAACAAAGCAACAGGAGTTTGATTAGAAAAAGCGACAACGTGGGACATTTCAAAGATGTAAAATTGCTCAGTTTTCTACATCATCCCTGTCATTCTAATCCTTTAACCTCGCCCCAAGAATATGCACACACATAATCTGAATCTAATGGTTATTTTGCTAAACAGAAAAGTAACAAAAACCACCGCTAAAGAAAACGTCGAAACGCTGACCTAAACATTCAATTTCCATAAATTTTGACGATACTCCAAGCTCAAACTGATTTCTTTTATAAAAAGGTATTGTTTAGGAAAAGATATGCTATTGACTGGTGACACAGTTAACTTATTAATTCCTTTGAGAGCATGACTCCAAATGTCAATAACCCTGTTAATGATGAAGTTAAATATTTGGTCTTTCATAAGGTCAATTGTTCCTTCACAAGTATCACAATTAGACAAAGTTGTTGTTATTCCCAGATCAAAACGCATATGCATTAATTAAGACCTTACAAAAGGTGAATATTTCTTGTATGTTAGGTAACTTCATCAAAACGCGCATCATATATATTTTAAGATGTAGATCGCCTGGTTAGTATAGTCCTTAGAAGGACTGTTGGTGTTGATGTTGACTGACGTTTCGACAACCTTAGTGGTGGTCATTTTAAAAGTCTAGTGACAGAAGATGTTGTATATTTGTACCATTTTCACAGAGATACAAAAGCAATTGTGCTGTGTATGACACACATAAATTGACGTTTTCAATGTTCTTTTAAAAAGTGCTACGAGAAAGAGATGAAATACTGCATCCAATATTCCTAATTCAAACTTGAATAGACATATTAAAATGATGCAATACATCGTACAAGTAATTTCAAAATGGTTTCACGCAGGCTCAGAGGATTACCCATAGTGAAATTATTTAATATACAAAATTAAGGCTAAGTGACACGTTTGTCACTAAGATTTATGAGATATCATGACTATACAAAAAATTAGAAGCTCTTTCTTTCCTTCTCGTCAAAACTATAATGACCAAGCCTAAAGAGTCAAATTTTTACAATTTCAGTTCTAATCGCCGGTTTCCATACACAAATTTATTGATCACCTCATCAACAGTAGGCTCTATTTCCTGATGTATTCCCATTAGTGCAAGTCCATTTAAGCGTTCTTCAACCATCGTACTTCTGTTGTAAGTTTTAAGCATGCGAAGTGCTGAAATAGAGCGTTTGCACTCACAAGAAGTAACTGGAAGAGTGGCTAGTAACCGTAGACATGCCTTAATATTCTCAAAACCTTCAAACCCTAAAGCTTTAAGTGTGGACGCTGCACTGTCCGGTAATGATCCCTCATATGTATGGGGCGCCATCTGTGGTTTTATTATTTAACCGCATAACCCTGTGATTTTCCCTGATTTATTAAATAACCAATTTCTTATTTTGGTTATTTAATAAATAACCACTTTATGAAAACATCGAAAATTGGTTATTTATTAAATAACCAGTTTCTACACACGCCGAAAATTGGTTATTTATTAAATAACCATTTTCTACACACGCCGAAAATTGGTTATTTATTAAATAACCACTTTATGAAAACATCGAAAATTTTTTAATCGAAAACATCGAAATTTATTAAATAACCAGTTTCTACACATGCCGAAAATTGGTTATTTATTAAATAACCATTTTCTACACACGCCGAAAATTGGTTATTTATTAAATAACCAGTTTCTGCCCACGCGAAAAAATGGTTATTTATAAATAACCAGTTTCTGCGCACGCGGAAAAATGGTTATTTATAAATAACCAAAATAATTTCGAGACCCTTGGCGTGCCAAATGACGTCAGCAAGCAATAAAATAATTTTCTCAGTCCCCCCCTGGATAAGCACTCATTTCCGCACTGTCGCGTTATTGAAATTAGATCGCTTGTCGCAAAAATTTTCATTTTGTCTGTAAGTTTCCCGCTCGGCGTGTTTTCTATTTGTCTTTTTTGTCAAATAAATATGTCTCAAACGCACAATCTCCAAAGAGCAATTACCGAGGCCGTAGGAAGAGCAGTACACGAGGCACTGCGA